CTTCTTCTCAAGAATGACAAAGCCATAATTCATCATATTTATATGGAAGCATGCTCAGGTAGTGTAGATTCAAGTTTGTTCAAATCATGACCCCCGGGGGTAGGGCAGGGCCAAAATGGCCGACCAAAGTTTTACACAGAAATATATAGGAAAATTCTTTAAACATCTTCTTCTCAAGAATGTCAAAGCCATAATTCATCATATTTATATGGAAGCATGCTTAAGTAGTATAGATTCAATTTTGTTCAAATCATGACCCCCAGGGGTAGGGTGGGGCCAAAATGGCCGACCAAAGTTTTTAAAGATATATATATAGGAAAATTCTTTAAAAATCATTTTCTAAAAAATAGCAAATCCATGATTGGTCATGGGACTACTTTTGGATTTAAACTTTACAATAAAAAGCCATTTTCTACTTTTTCCTACCCTTAGTGCTCAGGTGAGCGATGTGGCCCATGGGCCTCTTGTTGTGCAATTGCAATCAAAGATCTAAAATTTCGGGGCTATGTATAACAGTTAATCTATGATTAAGCAGCTGCTTTAACAAAGAAAAGCAGTTTTGGTCAACAAGATAATTGATTGGTAATAATTCAGCACAATGCAAGGCAATCACACTTAGTCATGCCTCATCGCACTTCCAGTGAGGGACAGCTATCCAAACAATAGAGATGCATTTTTTGTTTTTGGTAATAATTCAGCACAATGCAAGGCAATCACACTTAGTCATGCCGAAGGCTCAAGTGAGCTTTTCTGATCACATTTTGTCCGGCGTCCGTCTGTCCGTCTGTCTGTCTGTCCGACTGTCTGTAAACTTTTCACATTTTCGACTTCTTCTCAAGAACCACTGGGCCAATTTCAACCAAACTTGCTACAAAGTATCCTTTGGTGAAGGGGATTCAAGTTTGTTCAAATGAAGGGCCACACCCTTTTCCAAGGGGAGATAATTATGAATTAGAGAACAGGGCTCTCGATTCTCTAAAATTGGGGCCGTTCAACGGCCCCGTTCCCAATGCAAAAAAGGTACCTTTTTTCCCAAAAGAAAGGTGTAAATTTCCCAATTTCCATCCAGAGTAAAATATTAATTAAAAAATAAAAGTCCATCAAACCTAATCGCAAAAAAAAAACCCCAAACAAAACACATTTGCAAATGAAAGTGAAATTGTACTACTATTTTATTAGTTCGCGCCAAATGCATTCGTAAACTGGTTCGGGGAACCAGGTTATTGTTTTTACAAAAATGTATACAATTATGAGTGCAGAGTATCTTGTTATGTAGTTTCGACAAAAACCAGCATTTTGGTCTCAAAAATAGACATTTCATTTAAATATTAGTAAGCTGCACCTAGAAACATACCCGCGCTTCGGCATGTTCAGTCTCGCGCTGTATTGGTAAGCAAAGTTGCCCATGTGATCGAGGAAATTCGGGACTATGTGACTAGCGACTGTCACGCAGTAAGACATATAACCGCAATATCAACACTCAAAGATAGTAATGACAAAGCTTATGTACTTTCATAAATAGCCTACGTACCCATGTTTGTTCTGTTTAACTGTTTATTCAAACCAGAGTTAGCATTGATGATAAAATGCTAGAAAAGCAAAATTTTGAGGATTTTTTTAATGAATTTGTGTTATCCAACTTTTCCCAAAATGACGATAATTTTCCCAATTTGAACGGCCCCGGCCCCAGTCCCAAAAAGTGGTGTGAGAGCCCTGAAAATTAATGGCATTTTAAAAAAATCTTCTTCTCAAGAACCACTGGGGCAGGAAATATGAAACTCATGTGGAATCATCCTCAAGTAGTGTAGATTCAAGTTTGTTCAAATCATGACCCCCGGGGCTAGGGTGGGGCCAAAATGGCCGACCCACGTTTTACATAGGAATATATAGGAAAAATCTTGAAAAATCTTCTTCTCAAGAACCACTGGACCAGGAAAGATGAAACTCATGTGGAATAACCTCAGGTAGTAAAGATTTAAGTTTGTTTAAATCATGACCCCTGGGGCTAGGGTGGGGCCAAAATGGCCGACCCACGTTTTACATAGGAATATATAGGAAAAATCTTGAAAAATCTTCTTCTCAAGAACCACTGGACCAGGAAAGATGAAACTCATGTGGAATAACCTCAGGTAGTAAAGATTCAAGTTTGTTTAAATCATGACCCCCGGGGCTAGGGTGGGGCCAAAATTGCCAACCCAAGTTTTACATAGGAAGATATAGGAAAAATATTAAAAAATCTTCTTCTCAAGAACCACTGGTTCATGAAAGATGAAACTCATGTGGAATCATCCACAGGTAGTGTAGATTCAAGTTTGTTCAAATCATGACCCCTGGGGCTAGGGTGGGGCCAAAATGGCCGACCCAAGTTTTACATAGGAATATATAGGAAAAATCTTTAAAAATCTTCTTCTCAAGAACCACTGGGCCAGGAAAGATGAAACTCGTGTGGAATCATCCTCAGGTAGTGTAGATTCAAGTTTGTTCAAATCATGACCCCGGGGCTAGGGTGGGGCCAAAATGGCCGACCCAAGTTTTACATAGCAATATATACTAGTATATAGGAGAAATCTTTAAAAATCTTCTTCTCAAGAACCACTGGGCCAGGAAAGATGAAACTCATGTGGAATCATCCTCAGGTAGTGTAGATTCAAGTTTGTTCAAATCATGACCCCCAGGACTAGGGTGGGGCCAAAATGGCCAACCCAAGTTTTACATAGGGATATATAGGGATACCTTTTCAAATCTTCTTTTCAAGTGCTTTAAAGCCATGATTAATGATATTTATATGGAATCAATCATCCTCAGGTAGTTTAGATTCTAGTTCAAATCATGAACCCCTGGGGTGGGTGGGGGGTGGGTATAATTCAAGCCCCCCCCCCACCTCAGTAAACTTTCAGTTCTGATCTGATATGTGCTTTTTCCTAGCCGATGTTCTCAGGTGAGCGCTGTGGCCCCTGGGCCTCTTGTTAAACAAGAGGCCCATGGGCCACATTGCTCACCTGAGAAGCTTTGACCATTCTGTTCTTTACCAAATTTCCCCCTTGTAATACATATTGTGACCCCAACCTATCCCCCTGATCATAATTTAGGCAATTTGAAATCTACACTACCCTAGGATGCTTCCACATAAGTTTCAGCTTTTCTGGCCCAGTGGTTCTTGAGAAGAAGATTTTTAAAGATTTTTCCTATATATTTCTATGTAAAACTTTAATTCCCCATTGTGGGCCCGCCCTACCCCCGGGGGTCATGATTAGAAGAATTTAGAATCTACACTACCCCAGGATGCTTCCATGTAAGTTTCAGCTTTTCTGGCCCAGTTGTTCTTGAGAAGAAGATTTACAAAGATTTTTCCCATATATTTCTACCTAAAACTTTGAGTCCCCATTGTGGCCCCACCCAAGCCCCGGGGGTCATGATTTCAACAATTTAGAATTTACATTACTCCAGGATGCTTCCACATAAGTTTCAGTTTTTCTGGCCCAGTGGTTCTTGAGAAGAAGATTTTTAAAGATTTTTACTATATATTTCTATGTGAAACTTTGATTCCCCATTGTGGCCCCGTCCTACCCCCGGGGGTCATGATTTCAACAATTTAGAATCTACACTACCCCAGGATGCTTCCACATAAGTTTCAGCTTTTCTGGTTCAGTGGTTCTTGAGAAGAAGATTTTTTAATGACCCCACCCTATTTTTGTCTTTTCTTTATTATCTCCCCTTGTGAGGGGACTTGGCCCTTGATTTTAAACAAAGTAATTTTTCTTTACCCAAGGATGCTTTGTACCAAGTTTGGTCAAAATTGGCCCAGTGATTCTTGAGAAGAAGTCAAAAATGTGAAAAGTTTACAGACGGACAGACAGACAAACAGCTAGACAGGCGGACTAACGACGGACAAAATGTGATCAGAAAAGCTCACTTGAGCCTTTGGCTCAGGTGAGCTAAAAAATATCAGCCATAATTCTCTTGCGACTTTTTGTCTGCTTTTTATAAAACAGAAACGTTATATTCTAAAATAGCTAAATAAAGCTATAATATATAGGTAAATAAAGCTATATAGGTAAATTAAGATATATAGCTCAATATAGTGATTTCCTGGACCTGTCTTTGATCAAGAAAACACAACATTATGTACTGGGAGTAAAATTTAGTACAAAAACAATGGCATGAGAATTGGTTTGAAACAAATCAGCCAAAATATGACACAATGGTAGGTTATATTTGCCATTAACTAAGTTCATAATAATGACCCTAGAATTTATAAAATGCTGAACTGATAAAAAAAATTGTTGAAACCCTGTAACATCAACTTATTTATGAGTAGCCTATCTCATTTTAATTAAGGAATCTCTGTCTTGTTTAATGGGTATGGCTTACCCAACAAGCTGGACAGGGATTCCTTACATTTCCATTTCAAAATTGTGAAATAAAAATGTAAATTTAGATTTAAGAATGTTGTCTAAAAGATTCAAATTAGATTAGGACTCCCATGTCAGTTTCAATAGCCCCCAATCACTGATGTCAGACACGAAGGCAGATGCCCTAGATCTACATGCATATAAGGCATTCTTAGCCCCTTACTTTTAGCTTTGAGAAATTTACATTCCAGTTGAATAATCAAGGAATCTACTCGCCTAACTTTTAGAGAGTTATCACAGAGAAAATAAATAGAAATGGAAATATATATATTGATCATACTCAGAGCATGCTCTTAGTTGAGAGACATGTACACCATGTACAGGTGAAAAAGAAAATTACTGCATAAATAAGAAAAGTGGATGATGGAACAGTTAGAGTAATCTCGTTTGTATTTTAATACAGTTCAAATATGAATGAGATATACGTGGCATACTCTGTGGTATGTTTTATCTCAACTCTCAACTTTGCTGGAATATCAATTGATATATTTGAATGTCAAGCTGAAGGTCATCTCAAATATTTTCTTCTTCTAATGTAGTAGTCAAGATAATCATCACTAAATGAAATTGTTTCCCTCTCATTTGAAGGCTACTTTTGGACAGTGGATTAGCAGCAGAATGGAATGTAGAGTATGAGGCGTAAGTAAATAGAGTTAACGTCTAAACTATTAATTATCTTAACCTCTGTACCATTTTGGCAAACTGCTATTTAAGCTAGTACATGTACTATTTTCTATACTTACAAAAGGGCATTTGGTGGAGAGAGAAAAGTCCCTCCTGCATCAAAAAAGTTTGTTGAAGAATTACCAAGGAAAATAGTATCACCCACAGAAGCTGGTAAGAGTAATTGATACATGTATTAATGTAATGCTAAAGAATTTAATCAACAGACACATGTACCTCATTTTCTTAAACCACAGGGCTCTGAATTTCTGTCTATAAGCCATTATGTGACCAATGTAATACATGTACATGAAATTAATGATGTTGACAAATATTACATGTTCATTACAAACATTCATCAGAATGATTTTTAGCTCACCTGAGCCGAAGGCTCAAGTGAGCTTTTCTGATCAAAATTTGTAGTCGTTGTCGTTGTCGTAAACTTTTCACATTTTCATCTTCTTCTCAAGAACCACTTGGCCAATTTCAACCAAACTTGCTACAAAGTATCCTTGGGTAAAGGGGTTTCAAGTTTGTTCAAATGAAGGGCAACACCCTTTTCCAAGGGGAGATAATTATGAATTAGAGAAAAATTAATGGCATTTTAAAAAAATCTTCTCAAGAACCACTGGGCCAGGAAAGATGAAATTCATGTGGAATCATCCTCAGGTAGTGTAGATTCAAGTTTGTTCAAATCATGCTCCCCGGGGCTAGGGTGGGGCCAAAATGGCAGAGCAAAGTTTTACATAGGAAGATATAGGAAAATTCTTTAAAAATCTTCTTCTCAAGAACTACTGGACCAGGAAAGATGTAACTTATGTGGAATCATCCTCAGGTAGTGTAGATTCAAGTTTGTTCAAATCATGACCCCCGGGGCAAGAGTGGGGCCAAAATGGCCGACCCAAGTTTTACATAGGAAGGTATAGGAAAAATCTTTAAAATAAAAATCTTCTTCTCAAGAACCACTGGGCCAGGAAAGATGAAACTCATGTGGAATTATCCTCAGGTTGTGTAGATTCAAATTTGTTCAAATCATGACCTCCGGGGCTAGGGTGGGGCCAAAATGGCCGACCCAAGTTTTACAGAGGAATATATAGGAAAAATCTTTAAAAATCTTCTTTTCAAGTACTTCAAAGCCATGATTAGTGATATTTATATGGAATCATCCTCAGGTAGTGTAGATGTCTAGTTTGTTCAAATCTTGAACCCCTAGGGGGGGGTTAAAATTTAAGCCCCCCCTTCCACCTCGGTAAACTTTCAGTTCTGATCGGATATGTGCTTTTTCCTAGCCCATGTGCTCAGGTGAGCGCTGTGGCCCCTGGGCCTCTTGTTAGTGTTCCTGTCACTCTGGTACCAATGTTGACATTTAAATTTCAGCTTTGGAAAAGAAGTGTCCGGTGTGTTTGGGACTGCTTGATGAAGAAGATGAGACAATTGAACTTCCAAAATGTTCTCACAGGTTTCATTCGAGCTGCATTTTGCCTTGGTTACAGCAAGTAAGGACAAGCACTCTTTTGTTAAAAAAATTGGCTTGCAACTCTATTTTGTACAAAAAAACCTTTTGATCAATAACTTATTCTTTGTCAGGTGAATAACTGCCCCATGTGTAGAGAGGAGTTTCCCACAGATGATCCAGATTATGAGAACTACAAAAAACACAAGGTGAGAATTTTTTTTTAATTCAATATGTATTAAATACTCCCCTCTCAAAGTGTCATGACTTTATCTGTCAAATGTTCATCTGTTGGGTTTTTTTTTTGGCTCACATAAAGTTAAATACCTCAGGTACCATGAAAAGAACCCCAAAAGATGTGCTTATCTTTTGAACATGCCACTATGCAAATTCATCAGTTTTTCAACATGTTTTCTTATGTGCCTGGATCTATAGATTGAGGCCGATATTGTTTTTGTCCTGTCTGTCTGTTTGTCTCTCTGATGTCAACTTAACTTTTGCCATAACTTTTGAACCGTGAGAGAGACACTTCGTATTTGGTATGCCTACTCCACCATTTAAGTTCTTTCAAATGATATCAAGGTCAATGTCCTTTTGACCTTGGCTGTGACCTATATGCTAAAAATATTTTTGAACTGTGTTGCCACTGGGCGCATTGTGTTTCACAAACACATCTTTTTTTTGTTTTTTGTTTTTTTTTTTAAATTGAAACTTAACTTCAAGCATAATTTGTGAGCTAAAAGTATGTCATAACCCCAAACCAAGAAATTGTGGCAAGTTCAAGAATACTGGGAGAAAAAGTATCAAAGTTATGTCTGGTCCATAAATTTTATTTTCCTAGTATAGAGAAACTATGGATGTGTATATTTCACTCAAAAATTACTTATAAGCAGAGGTTGTGTTAAAACCAAGTGCTATCATTTTGGTAAGTTCATGGTCATACATGTATATAAATTATAAAATCACGAAAATTTATGCAGTCTTGGTTGAGATTATGTATTGATTTCTGAAGCAAGTAAAATACTTATTTTATATTTACAGGCTAGAGCAAAGCAACGAGAGTTTGAAATAGACACTCTGCATAATGCAATGTTTAATTGATTACAAATACGTAATTTATACATGTACTCTAGCTGCTGTGATTAATGTTATATCTTTTTATCTGGTATTTTGTTTTAAGGACCATGTGCAATTCTTGTATAATGGGGGGGGGGGTATTTTGGTGTTTGACAATTAGGCTTAGAGTGTAAAACCAACTTGGTGTGTACTACTACATGTACATATATTGATAGATACCTGTATACATGTACCTATCTTAGGTGTCTTTTTCGAATTCTTAGTCTTATTATAATATATTGATTTTCCATTATTAGGAAGTTTTATTATTGCTGAGTTTATATGTCTAATTTACTACAAGTAAATTCACACTTTTGTATAATACAAATGTATCTTATGTTTTACCACTTTTATGGTTTAATTACTAGTAACCTACCTTGATAATAGGATAACAAATTTTAGAATATTAAAATGTTGTGTACCCGGTAGTTATTTTTTAAAAATAATATGTATATCTATCATTTAGAGAGAATGAACATATTATTGTACATGTATGTTCTTTGTTTATTGTATTTAAATGTTTGAATACAGGTTGAATGATTGATTTAAGGAAATCACAATTAGGGCTTTTTTAGCTCACCTGAGCCGAAGGCTCAAGTGAGCTTTTCTGATCATATTTTGTCCGTCGTCCGTCCGTCTGTCTGTCCATCTGTCTGTCCGTCTGTAAACTTTTCACATTTTCGACTTCTTCTCAAGAACCACTGGGCCAATTTTGACCAAACTTGGTACAAAGCATCCTTGGGTAAAGGGGAATTTAAATTGTTAAAATGAAGGGACATATCCCCTCGCAAGGGGAGATAATCAAGCTTTCTGTGATGGAAGGAAAGACAAAAATAGGGCGGGGTCATTAAAAAATCTTCTTCTCAAGAACCACTGGGCCAGTAAAGCTGAAACTTATGGGGAAGCATCCTGGGGTAGTGTAGATTCTAAATTGTTCAAATCATGACCCCCAGGGGAAGGGCGGGGCCACAATGGTAAATCAAAGTTTTATATAGAAATATATAGGAAAAATCTTTGAAAATCTTCTTCTCAAGAACCACTGGGCTAGAAAAGCTGAAACTTATGTGGAAGCATCCTGGTATAATGTAGATTCTAAATTGTTCAAATAATGACCCCCGGGGGAAGGGCGGGGCCACAATGGGGAATCAAAGTTTTATATAGAATTATATAGGAAAAATCTTTGAAAATCTTCTTCTCAAGAACCACTGGGCCAGAAAAGCTGAAACTTATGTGCAAGCATCCTGGTGTAGTGTAGATTCTAAATTGTTCAAATCATGACCCCTGGGGGAAGGGCGGGGCCACAATGGGGTATCAAAGTTTTATATAGAAATATATAGGAAAAATCTTTGAAAATCTTCTTCTCAAGAACCACTGGGAGAGAAAAGCTGAAACTTATGTGGAAAAATCCTGGTATAATGTAGATTCTAAATTGTTCAAATAATGACCCCCGGGGGAAGGGCGGGGCCACAATGGGGAATCAAAGTTTTATATAGAAATATATAGGAAAAATCTTTGAAAATCTTCTTCTCAAGAACCACTGGGCCAGAAAAAGTGAAACTTATGAGGAAGCATTCTGGGGTAGTGTAAATTCTAAATTATAGGAATCATGACCCCCGGGGGAAGGGCAGGGCCATTATAGAGAATCAAAGTTTTACATATATATATATAGGAAAAATCTTTGAAAATATTCATCTCATGAACCACTGGGCCAAAAAAGCTGAAACTTATGTGGAAGCATCCTGGTATAATGTAGATTCTCAATTGTTCAAATAATGACCCCCTGGGGAAGGGTGGGGCCACAATGGGGAATCAAAGGTTTATATAGAAATATATAGGAAAAATCTTTGAAAATCTTCTCGGGAACCACTGGGCCAAAAAAGCTGAAACATATTTGCCCATTGAAGGATCATGGGGTAGTGTAGATTTCAAAATGTCTAAATTATGATCAGTGGGGTAGGGTGGGGATGCATTATGTATAACGAGGGGGAAATCTGGTAAAGAACAGAATGGTCAAAGCTTCTCAGGTGAGCGATGTGGCCCATGGGCCTCTTGTTGTGATCTTATCCTTACCATCAATTCAAAAATGGCCTAGATCAAAATTTTAGAAACATTAATTCCATTCCAATTCATATTGGGTCTTATTGGGGGAAAGGGGGGGGGGGGGTTGCTGGTTCTGATGTCAAGAAAATTATTGTACTTGTACATGCAGTGTGAAAAATCATTGTGATTTTAGAGTCATTCTTTTTGATTTGTATTGAACTTTATAATATGTGTATGTTATTTTATTTGTCAGTAAATTAAATTACTTTATTTATAGTTGACTTTAAATAATGAGTGCTTTCTAAATTCTCGAAACTGAAAACTGTGATGGAAGGACAGAAGATAGATATGACAACTATTATATATGCCTTAGCCATATTATTGGAGAGCATAAAAATGTTCATCGGCTTGGCCAACCGATAAACAGAATTATGTATCTTAGTGTAGTCTACTTGTGTGCCAAGTTATATTGAAATCAGACCAAAAACTGTAGGAGGAGTAGCATTTTGAAAAATTGTTTACAGAAAGACAGACAGACGGACGGACGCCAGATGCAGTACTATTGCATAAGCTCTTATGGTCTCTGACTGTTAGAGCTAAAAAATATGTCAATTTCTCTGAATGCCTGGATACCTTAACCTATATCGTTTTTTAGCCTAAAATATATTTGTTGATCAATTTGCAATTAGAAAATGCATTGCTTACTATTCCAATTCGCTTTTTTTGCAAAAACATCGGAGATTTGACAATTTTCCCTATATAACATGATTAACTTTAATCTTTAACTTGAAAGAAATACTGTGGATGAATTTACGTAACTTTTTGGATTCAGAGATACTTTTATGAGTACATGTATTTTTGATTACTTAACTGTTAATTTTATAAACCTGAGGATCGGACTACCTTAAAACATATAGAAACTTTAGTTTGAAGGGCGCACCACGTACACTTCCAACAAAGATTGAATTATCTGTCAAGGTTATAAGCAGATTTTCCTATTATAAACCAGAAAGTTTTGTGCTAGATCGATAAATGAATAGTGTTTCCAGTTCCATGACCAACCCTTTAGTAAAGGACTGAGCCACCTTGATTTTTTCTGTGTACATCTTTCCTAGCTGCAGATCTGTAGCGTTATGGTTTTATTTATTTTTCTTTGACTCAGTATGATGTACCCTATTTAAAATGCATCACAATGATCCTAATTAGTCTTAAGAATTATAGGCCAAATAAATAGGATGGTTTTTTCTTATCTTCTTATTTTAAAAGTCACAGTAATTTTCTACCCAAGATGAATCATTGGACATCTTCATGATCTTAGCCTCATATCAAGAAGCAAAACATAGATTTACAGACAACTGGACACTATTGCAGTGCAATGTTCCAACTAGTCACAGAAACTTGCTAGCGAAAGCAAAATATGCTGAGCTTCCTTATTACTTTGAAGATCTTTTTTTTTTCTTGTATATTTTTGGTTGAAAAAAATTTTTACTACAAATGTTCTTTATATGGATGTTGCTTATAGTCACTCCTTCAATGCACCTCACCTAGCCCCTGCCATTTTGAAGGCCTGTTTTTGCTCTGCTCCAAAGATTTTTGAAAATCTTCAATAGACCTCCAACCTTGAATACCGTTTATAATCTTGATACATTTACCCCCATTCTCTGAAATCATTAAAAATTCATGATGGTCAATTTTCATGGATTGCTTATATTTTACAGATTTTCTGTTATTTTATCATATATACAAGTTAAATGACTTTGATCCTCTTGAAGAGAACCTAAAGGAGATGGGTGAACATGACGAGAGATAAGCCCATAGCACAACAAACATGAAGGTGATATCAAAATTTTCCTTAATATTTCATCTAACATTAAGTAAACATTATGCAAAATCTCGACAACTTGCACAAATCTCATGAAGATTGAAGTTATTTGGCTATGAAATATTAAATATACACTAAAGAGGACAAGACGGGTCATTTTTTCACACTATGACACTATTTTTCGATACGAGTGGGTCCTCTCTCCATTTTTTTGAAAGTTAATCCTCAAAGTTTGCATAAAAACATACATATTTTGGTTTCCAAAATTATGGAGCAAAGACCCACTATACCTTAAAAATATAATTTTATGACAAAACTTTCGTATCTTTTCAAGAAATACTTGAAGTCTCACAATCCAATGGTCATATCACAAACATGATTCAAATGCCACACGTCAGCAGGACTTGTGTAGCGTAGTGGTTAGCGTGCTAGTCTCAGTAGAAAATGCAAATCAGGATTTTTATATCCAGGGTTTGCACCCACTGGAGACCACATTATTTTTTTTAATATAAAAGAATAAATTTTAACAAAAATATTTCTCAAAACTTTTTTATTATGACTTCATAAAACAAATGAAAACTTTACTCCAACTACTAAATTCACAATTTGAATTTTATTTTTATATACCTGAAGCTAGTGGCCTTTCTGAATGCTAAGTTCACCCATATCCTTTGTGGATCAAGTTTACACAAAATGAATATCGAGCCATGAAATCTAACGATCCCAATCATATCAAAGGAGATAACCGACATTAGGCCAAGGTAAATAGTGCGTTTCCTATTCAAACCTGACAAAAATAGGGAAATCACTTGCAATTTCTGCTTCACAAGATGTAGGATATGCATTTCCTCACATACAAAAGTAGTTGAAATAAGGATTTTTAATAGGAAATCCAGAATTGTTTTCTTTCTGGAAAGATATTGATGGGTAACTTTTCTGGGTTGGCTTATATGTTTTAGATTTTACTGGAAAGATATTGATGGGTAATGGGAACCGGATACACACTATTTATCTAGGAATCTACCCCACCACCCCAGCTCCAAACCAGGGGACATAGAGAACCAAACTTAGCATCAAAATATGTATTTCTACCTACACCTTATCTTTCATATTCACATAGGATATGAAGTTGACACGCAATCACATCCAATTAGATTATTTTCCACAGGTCGATTCAATCCAACATTTTTAATGCATCAGTGACAAACTCCATTTCTGTTTTGGAAGATGCAAAATTTTTTTTTTTATGCCCTTCATGTCACAATAGCAAAACCAACAACAATAAATTTGTAAAAAATCAGTTTTATTACAAGTTGATGACTGCACATAAAATTCAACTAAGCAATGTTCCTCACATGTGAAATGGAAATGAAAATGATGAGAATAGAATGAGTGATGAAAGGACTGCCTTCTCCCTCCAACTGAACTCCCTGTCATTAAGAGCACAAAACAACACAGATGTCTGTTCTTTAATGAGATTGATCTACAAAAGAAAAGGAGATCGTATTATAAAATGTAAGCTAAATATCAAATCAACTGAAAAATATTTTATTTTTAGAATCATTTTACTTTAACCAATCCTTCTAATTTGCTCAAATATTCAATTTTACAAACTTGATTTTACTTTTCCTTACATCTTCATTATTTTTTCAATGAAATAATTTGAATTTATATCCTTAGAATAAAATCTCCCATCTATAAACATTCATTTGAAAATAAAAAGGAACGAATTCTAGCATCCATATTCTGCAATAAAACTTTCATTATGAGCCTACAAAGGATCCAAAAAAATCTCTGTAAGTTAAAAGGAGTGGTTAGATGGGGTACCTGTATACAACTAAATGGATAAGACACAGTGATTAAGGAAAAATGATCATGCAAAGACAAGCTAGTAAATTCTGTTGGTCTCCCCCTGATTTTATCACCTGTGATGTTTATCGGTTGTATGGATGGTATCCACCACCACCACCTCGGCCGCCCTTCTGAGATTTACCATAAGTACTCTGCTGTTGACCTAGAAGAGTGCAAAATGCCAAAATTAAGTTCACTTGAAATATGGACAATTTTTTTTGTCTTCACATTTATTTTAACAGAATTTAGAATGGGTGTTTTTATCAAAAACAGTTCTATCTACAATTTTTGCACACCAAAATTTTCAGAGGGTTGGTTATTAGATTTGCTTTTCATCTTCAGTGCACTCCTTCTATGATTAACTGAAGGGCCTCCAAGTTTTTTTCTCAGAATGCCTTGGAATAATTAAAAAGGATGGGAGACCAACACAATTTTCATGCTTTTTGGTCCAAAGACTTCTTCCTGCAAATATCCCCCTTGAAAAGCAACAAAAGGAACATCCCCTCTGAACAACCCTCTGAAATTTTGAAATCAAACAATAAACAGGTTAGTGCTGAAAAGAGTTAGTAATCAATCAACAATGAGATGAGAGGTTATACACATGAACTTCCAAACCATTGTAGCACATTCTACTCACCTTGATCGTATCCGTAGTAGTCATAACCTAGAAAATTACAAACACCAGTCTTATTGCACATTCAAACTACAGATAGGGAATGAATGTAGCCTCTTCCTAACCACACTTTCCTAATGATGAAAAGATGGTTTTGTGGAATCATGGGCTTGATTATTACTATTTTTTTCAAAATTGTCTAAACACACAGTATGACACAAATGCTACAACAGTCTGGAAGAGGCTACAATTGAAAACAACAAATAAACATGCAGAAGTTCATGTATTTTCCCATTAATTTTCAAATGCACAAAAATATGTCTTTTTCTTTCTAAATTCAGCATGCAAAAATATAAATTAAATCAAATTGCTTATTTTTTTTTTTTCAACGAATCCTTTCTTTTTTCCTTTTTAAATCTTTAAACATGGTAATTGGTACATTTTTTGATATTTTAAAAAAAATTTTGAACTGTAAAATTTTAATACAGAAGTAAATTGGTACATTTTTTTGATATTTAAAAAAAAAAATTTTGAACTGTAAAATTTTTATACAAAAGTTAATTGAACTTAAATACAAAATACTGTTAATATCCAAAAAATAACACAAACAAAAACAGAGATCTGCATCACAAAATAAAAACACATCACTTTTGTATTAAACGTTTCCCTTAAATTGAAATATAGTGTGATTTTATTCTTTAACCTTAAGTTGCACAAGTAGCAAAAATATTTTACAAAATCAGTATTTGAATGTGATGCAGATCTTTGTAGTGGTATAAACAGACATAGTGTCCTACCGTCACCCCCGTATCCTCCGTAGTTGTAGTAGCTCTGATCGTAGCCTCCCCAGTTTCCGTAGTTGGGCCCGCCACCATAATAATCGTATCCTCCGTATCCATACCCTCCCTGGCCATATCCATAGCCACCATATCCTCCATAACCGTATCCCTGATTATATCCCTGCCATCCTGAAATAACAATAGCAAGTATAAAGTACCAATATACCGCATCACAGTTCAATCAATCGATCAAGGTTACTCAGAAAAGGTCTTAATCTTCCTGAATTCTTGAAACTTAATACAAATTTCAGCCTTACCCCCTCGTCCTCCTCCATAACCATATCCCCAGCCCCCTCGGCCTCTTTTGTTTTGTGAGTTGGGTAAAGCCTTTTTCACATCGACCTGCGAAGCAAACAAGAGCACATGTTAATAACATATCCTAGACTATTTATCTAGCTGGACCAGAACAGTTAACCATTACATTAAAGACATTTAATGTGATGGATAGGCTTGCAACTTGAAACCGGGATTCTTATGAGGATCCAGTTATATTAACCTGTGAAAAATGCAAAAAGGGGTTATGATAAAAAATAACCTTTCAAACAAAAATGAGGGCTTAGTTAATACTAAATGATTATATTGTCTTATACAATCACGCTTGTCAGATGTGTGGCTGTGAATACCTCAGACCTCAACTGTATCTATGGCTCCTTTTCTCCATAACCTGCCTGATCTAGCTGGAAGTGGAACAAAAGGAGGTTCACTGTTAATTCATGATCATAACAATTTCTGATCCTTTACAGCCCCTCTATTTGAACCACTTTATTTCTTACCCATTAATTCTTAACTCTTGATAAGTCTTTCACCTTATTGATTTATCCTTAGTCATGATGTGTTTGATATAAACAGATAAATCAAAATGTTTTTACTTTTTCCCTGAAAGAGAATGTTTGAAGAAAACGCTTGCTTCATTCGCTCATGTACAATACCTGCGCTGACATTTTGGTATAGGATTGCTCCAAATTGTCATCTGTTTCCTCCAACACCCCTCATGCAGACGTTTTTCAAGTTATTATACTTTGGCTTATCTTCCAATTTTGTCAAAGATGCCATGCCAGGTGATCAGTTTAACAAAGGTTTAGCAAGTGTCAATTGACAACTGATATAAACTAAAATAAAGATGGTCCGCTCGGGTAAAATTTAGCTAAGGCTGAGTAATCAATTTTCATTTTCTAGTCCAAAGTGAAATAGAATTGAGTAAAATTTTATGTTATTGCAATTGACAAAACTACATGCCATTTACATGCTGTAAGTGCAATATTGTTATAGAATTTCCCCTCCCTAGGTATGGGGATTCTTTGCCTCATATTGTCACTAATGGAAAAATAAGAACAGTTTAAAATTCATTCATTCTTTAAAGTTGTCATGCATCGAGTTCTTGGGCAGAAGGGTGACACATGCAGAATATATGTCACTGGTTTAACAAAAGGTCCCCCTGTTCCAACAGACAACTTTTGATCAGATTAGCCCTCTGGGGCAAGCAGTGTAGACACAGTAACATAGAATCTCTTACCTCCTGGTCTTTAATTTTGTGCTCATTCTTCTCTGTTATTTTCTTAACAGCATCTTCCTCCTTAAATTCAACAAAGCAGAAAGCTCTCCTCTGCTCCTTTGCTTTGTCATATGGCAAATCAATCTTCTTAACCTAAAATGGCAACAAAATAATTATCATCCTTTCTTTCCAGCTATTTGTTAGTGTGTATGAGTACAATATAGATTTATTAAAAAAAAAATCGTTACCAACTGACCTCTCCAAAGGTTTCGAAGTATTCCTTAATTTCTGCTTCTGTTAAGCTAGGATCAACCTTTCCAACAAAGATCTTTTTAATTACTTCCTCCTTCTTGCGTGGATTTGCTCGTTTGGGATCTATATTCCTACCTCCTAGGGAATGTGTTTTTTCTTCTAAAACCTATTTCAAATTGGATAAATAAATATAATACATGCATATCAAAGAAAAAGTAAACGAGTTCACATACCCCACGCTCACCCAGAACTTGACAATGCAACACATGTGGATTGGAACAAAAGAGGCATTACTTGTAAAAAAAAAAAAACTCAGCACATCTAAACTTTTTGGATATAGAGACATTCAAATCTTTGTCTATTACAGATTTAATTGGGCTCAAGTTTCTATATATTTTCAATAAAGGCATAAACATATCTTGGCAATATGCCTATCTACACACTGCGTCCTAAACATCTGCAGAGTTTGACAAATTCTGTGCAGCGGTCAGAGGAGTCGCACAGACACTTCATTCAAGATACTGGCCAAAAACCAATTTAATAAGATAAATTTCCAGAAATTTAAAAGAATCGGGATTTTCTGGCAATATGCACATCTGCATGCTATATCCTAAAAATCTGCAAAATTTGATGAAATTCTTTGCATCGGTTTAAGAGTAGTTGCACTGCTTACAAACTGTACATTTAAAATATTATTAAGATATTAAATGCTAAACATGTCCAAAATTTCTTACTTTATCAACTGTGGCGACTTCTTTGAACACAACAAATCCAAATCCTCTTGATCGTCGAGTTTCCAAATCCTGTTTCAAGACACAATTTTCTACTTCTCCAAACTTGCTAAAGTAGTCTTTTAAGTCTTCTGCAAATTTAAAAGAAAAAGGTTTATTTCACATGACAGTTTTTTATATATACATATTAAAATACTTCATTAAATAATTCGAATGATCAACCTTTATTTAATAGTAACTTACTTTGTGAGGTTTCCCAACTGAGATTTCCAACAAATATTTTTCTGAAAATGTCAAATTACTGAAAATCATGAAAATGGTCAGCAAAAATACATTTCTAATCACATTATATTACTCAGCTTATAAGGTTCCGCAAATTGCTGGCCATCAATTTTAGATAGAAATTTAAATTTTAGGTGTTGTTCGAAATACTATTAATTAAGCCTACTTGACACTGAAATTTCAAATTCCTGACCCAATACCACATAATTCAGTCCTAAAGTACTGAAAAAAACCCATCCATGTTAATATAAATTGTTACCAAATATCTATTTATTATAAGAATTTTCTTTTTATTTTATTGCATTATGAACTTGCCAAATCTGGCAATAGGCTTTCTACTAGCTTAGGCTATTGGGTTAACCCTTTGCGACCTTTAGTTCAATTGCAAGAGCACTGGACTGGCATGCAAGAGGCCCCAGGTTTAATCTCAAGCTGAGGCACTTATATAAAGAGGATATAATAAAACAACATTTATCTTTTTTATGGGGCTTCAGTGGGTTTCAATCGTAGCAACAAGCATGCCAGTCCACTTTTTAACTTTTCCACTTTTCACCTTGAAACTAAGGATAACTTCAAGCATAGAATGAATTACTCAAAGTAATGAATTATGTTTAAAAATAACATTTACATTTTACATGCGGTAGTTGTAAACTTGGTCAACACGCTATCTAAGGGAGCCAGTCAAAGCGCCCCCTAATAAAAACGTTCTGGTCAAAGCATCCCCTAATTTTAGTCAAAGCGTCCCCATACATATTTTTATAGAAAAAATACCGCCACCAAATTTTGGTCAAAGCGTCCCCTGATTTTAGTCAAAGCGCCCCCTGATTTTGGTCAAAGCGCTCATAATATATTTTTACAGGAGAAAAAAACGTTTCGAGTCAATCCCCAAGAAATGGTCAAAATGTCCCCTGATTTGGTCAAAGCGCCCCCATATAGAATTTCTTTCGGGTAACTGCAAAACAATGATAATATTATAAATACAAAACAGTTTTATTCCGTAACATGTTTGTAAAAATATATTAGGGGGTGCCTTGACCAAAATCAGGGGATGCTTTGACCAATATTTGGGGGCGGTTTTGTAACATAATTTTACTGTAAAATTCTATAAGGGGCGCTTTGACCAAAATCAGGGGACATTTTGACCAAAATCATTTACATTGCTTTGAGGGACGGTTTTATTAGGGGGCGCTTTGACTGGATTTCGCTATCTAAGTGGTAAGAGGTACACATGTTCTATTTCCTACGGGGAAAGGGGCGATATGTTTTCTTTTAATTCTAAATTATTTACATAGAAATTAGTACAATTATCTGCCCCGTTCCAGAAATCGTTCAATAACTAATTAGATTCAGGCTTGTGTCGTGAAACCTCAAACAATGGAGTATGGATTCCAAGCATGCGCAGTGTGCGCCAAATACAAACCGCGTCATGCTGCCTTCAATTTTGATAAAATACGTTTAATGCGTAAAACTTTCTTGTTAATGATGCCAGCAATATAAAATTTGAATGCATTTGAACAAAAATACATTGGTTGAACAGACATTTTACGATACTATGATTTAAATAAAATATGATTCCATGATGAAAAGCACGCGGTTCTCACCGTTCATCGTCGTCCTCAAGTTTACCACCTTCTCCGCCGCCTCCGGCATTGTAATTTGTTTCTTGTCCTTCCATGGGTTCTGCATTCTGTTGTTGTTGCTCAAACTGTTCAAATCCCCCTTCACCATTTGCCTGTTGATCGTATGTGTAATCTTGCTGTTCCGCCATTGTGTGCAGTCCTCCCGATTTCAGCAAAATGGCCGCACGCTTGCGGTATTAGTCACGTGTTTAAATTTTCGAGTTTGTATTGGTTCGTTTATTTAGCAGCGACATCTATAGGTGGTCAGTACTTTGGTGGGATAACTCGGACCTCTTTCTCTCAGGCAGACAGGAAATGCTATATACTACTTGAGATCAATGCTATTTTTTCACTGAAAAGAATACATATAAAGGATATCGAGATGCGTTCTCACTGAAAAACAAGAATGAAAAATAAGAATTCCATTAATAAATTATTGGGTATGATGAAGATTGGCTGCAAATATTTCATGTACAAGCTGAAGTAATAACCAGAAATCCTTGAACTGCTAAATGTGTTCTTGTATTTTGGACAAGATTCATGTATAAAAACGACCGCCGCGGAACAGCAATAAACTTATATTAGTTTAATTTAGTCATTATATTATGTATGCATTTTATAATCGAAACTGAATTTTTGAAAGTAGATCTTCTTGTTTATATACTAACTTAGATTAATTAAAACAATAAATGGAATTATAAAAGTGCAGTTTTTATGCGTTTAGTTTAGTATAAGTGTACATATTTTTGTTGTTGAAAATTTAAAAGAGGCGGCAAATCGTCGGGCATGAATTAGAAATTGATTGCAAATACATTAATTGTGTAACTAATATAAGATACGTATGGAAAACGCAATAAAAAGAGAGTGCTAGCATATCAGGGAAAAACAATCTAAATTTCTTGACAGCAAAATAACTTGGACCATATCAGGGACCTATATGTATACTAACGTTAGTATAAACGGCATATCGATTTATAGCAAACGAAGAATTACCCAGCAATGTGTTTATACTGTCCTTTTCAGTTCATTTGTTCAGATCTTTTAACTTTCTATTAAAAATTGTTGTTATTCCGAATCCCCCAAAACCTCAAGTAAAACGACTGGGATTTGTTGCAGCTGCAAAAATGTAGCCATCTCCGATTTTTTTTATCTGATATTTTATGGAGAGGGCTACGTACGATTGGATTGTTCTGTATATTTTCGGATTGATTTATGTCTGGGATAACTACATTTTGGAAGTCCAGGTAAGACATATTAATAAAATAGCCGTTTACTGACAATTTGAAACGAAATCCGTGGGGGAGTGAATCGCTCCCGCTTTGCACCATTACGGAGATCCTAATTAAGGAGTTGTAGCCCTCTCAAAAAAAAGGGGGGGGGGCTACATTATTGCAGCTAGATTTCTGAGTGTCAAACAAATACTCAATTTTTTGAATTTCAAATGGATCGTCGAGTCATCTAAATGGCATCACTTTATCAGAAGAAATCATTTTGTTCCCACTTTATTTTACACAAAAAAGTGTTTCTAGCCCCTTGAGTGTAATTAAAATAAAAAATTCAATAATTAAAAAAAATTAGCCTTCATTTAAGTCCTAGACGACGTGGAATATAAACACATTGCACTATCATAAAATGTTGGGTTTATAGCGGCTATCTGAGATGTAGATAGAGACTAAAAAAAAAAAATCATAACGTTATTTTTTTTTTCATAACATAGATTTCAAATTAAATTTTATTTCCAGAAAACTTTGCCTGAAAGGCCGAGAATTTGCTACTGTCTGAATAAACTTTACGGCAATTTCTATGGCAGGGCTCGACATTAACGCTTGTCCGCTTGTCCGGTACCAATGAAAAAAAAATTCGGACAAGTGAATATTGCTAGGCACTTGTCCGATTGGACAAGTGATTTTTCTATGTAAAGAAGTCTTCAAATAATAAAAATCATAAAAAACAACTTTTGTAAAATTTATCGAATAAAAACGGAAGCAGTACATAAACCTGAATTTCGATCCCGATATGAATCGCTATGTAAGTTCACACTTGATCGGGATCGATGTTCATTAATTGTAGCCATATACTATTGCATGGCGTGGATCTTATGACGTTTGTGAGTTTAAAATATATTTGATTGATTTTACAGATTCACTTGCGAACATTTATGCTGTTGTCAGGACAGGAAATCTAGATAAAATTTTGTTTCAAATGTGTTTGTCTTATTTATCAATAACAACTCTTATAAATCAAGCACATTTAATTTTTTAATTGTTTTCAAGTTGACATAACAAGACATTCATTGAAAAATTTTCGGACAAGTAAAGTTGAAGTTCGGATAAGTAAATATCTTGGTCACTTGTCCGAATGGACAAGTAGGAAAAAAAGTTAATGTCGAGCCCTGCATGGGAAACAAAACACATTGTAAAAATATTGTTTTTGATGATTTAGATGGAATCAAAATCCCTTGTGATGATGAAGTACAGCTTCAAGGTATCACTGTAGACTTTAATACACATATTACAAATATGTGTTAAAAGGCAGAAAGGCAACTAAATGTTCTTAAACGCGGGGGTTAGAGTCAGAGGAATCTCGGATTAGGTATGAGGAAACAGAGCTCTGGAACTCTCTGTCCAATGAAGTCAGGAAATTTTCCTCTTATGATCAATTTCCTAAGTAAGTAAGTAAATATTTTATTATAGTGACATGTGTATACATGTAAACGTATATACATCACACCCGGCCCATTGGACCTATATGTCACTTTAATATATGTACAGTATTGCTATAAACATTTAAAGATAGCGCGCATGATGGACATCATCTTCGCTAGCCAAGGGTTTCCGATCCGATACCTACTCTACAACCCTTGGCAGATTTGGCTGAAAATTTTAGAACTCGCGCAAACGAATTTGATTGGCTGCGAAGTCCGAGTCTACGCAAGGTTTTTACTAATCGACGATTTTCGGCTGAATTAAAGTCTGTTACTGTTTTATGCAAAAGAAGAGTAATATTTACACGGGATGAAAGTTAGGACGTGATCTATGCTAAAAAAACAAGGGAGTAATTAATTTGAAATTTTTTTCTTTTGATTATATATGTTTTCAAGAATTATTGAAAGGACCATATTTATAAGTGCATGTTCCGCATTTTAGGTGCATCAATTTAAGCCAATCAAATGTTACGGCTCATTGATAATAATTGATACGGCAACATGTAGAAAGTAAAGTCAAACTCTTCACAAAAAATCCACGAAGAACGATATTTTCTACCACTTTTGAGGTGTGCCTACTTCCCACAGCTGTATGAGGTTGTTAGGATATATTCTACATCAGGCTGCATGGAGGTCGCCATATGATATTGTTTCGAACGTCATATTGATTTACGTATGTTACAGCTATTTTCATTGGACAAATATTAAAGAGCTTCAAGGGACGTAACTCAATTACGGCGATAGGCGGCGCAATCAAAGTTCCCGTTTGATGGACACAGACTACCAATTATTTTGCTATACATTCCTTTATACTATAAAAAATGATTAAAAAAATTACACCAGCTCAACTTACCTGAAACTTGGCACAGAGTAAGAAGAATTCAGGTCCAAAAATTTTTCAGACTCTCAGGAAAATTCATCGCATGCAGTTCCTGCTAAGGCATCGCAAATAACCCCTACCCTGCTTTTTTCACTTTCTCTTCGGGGAAAGGGTAAATATGGGCCTCTTTACACCCTTCCTACTACGCGCGCAAGTGCAAAATTTCACATATTAACAATTTTTTATTTTTTTTCAAACCCTCTCCTTTCCATCTATACCCAAAAATAACATCAGTTCACCCCATAAACACCCCAAAGAATTTTTAAGAAAAAACCTCTATTTTTAAACTGGAACTACTTGAGTGGTCAATGAAATAGGGGTAAAATTAGTAGTCTGTAACCTGATAGGCCTAAATCTGCCAAGGGTTGTAGAGTAGGTATCGGATCGGAAACCCTTGGCTAGCGAAGATGGATGGACATTATATTAATTTGATTGATATGAATATTTTTGTCTTAGTGAAAAACATAAATTTAAAAACTTGGCAGTTTGTCTCTGATGATTTTTCATTAAAATGTTTAAATTTTCATATGGATCTACATTTCTATTTAAATTAACATTATGAAAAAAAGTTTCTCTAATATTTCCGTAGGTTTTACAATGACATAAAAAATGTTTTTCGTCCTCTACTGATTCGTCATTACATAGAACACAGTAACGTTCTTGTGGCGGTTCGTTTCTAAATCGGCCTGTTTCGATTCGTAACGGAAGGATACCAACTCTAAACTGAGCCATTGTGGAGCGTTCTTGTTTTTTCTTGTCCATCGTTATGTAGGGTTCCATTTCAAAAGTATTTTTAAAGGTCACAAATCTTCTTAATTTGGGTAACGACGATATTTTCAATTTCCATTCTTCGTAAAGCGCAAACAATTCACATTTAACTTGATTTAAATCACATATTCGGAGGTAATCAAAATTGCTTTGCATATTTAATTTGTATAGGATTTCTTTCATTTGTGAACACCATATTCCACTATTTTGATAATTCCATAAGAAAACCTTTTTGGTGAGTCTGTCATCGTCCATTTCAATTAATCGGTTCCATCTTCTAATCATGTTGATCCAGCGCCTGTACGTCGGTGTTATCCATCCAACCTCGCTGTTTAATGCGATTGCGGGTGCGTATCTATGTAGTCCTAAAAAATATCGAATAGCACGATTTTGTACAACTTCTAAAGACTGATATGTTTTAAATCCCCAAACCCCGGAACAATAATCTAAAATAGGGATCACACAAGACTGAAAAAGCTTTTCGTAGGTATGAAATCCAACATCTTTATAATCATGAATTTTCGAAATCATTGACCCCAATGCTCTTCCTCCTGCTTTAATTTACCAAGAGTTTCTGCCGCTATGTTAAAGTCCATCTTCTCGTGAAAGATAATACCGAGATATCGATATTGATTAACATACTGTAATTCTTCTTCCCCTATTTTGAACTTGTATAGACTTTGAGGTACATGGCGTTTCCTAAAATGCATGACATTAGATTTGGCACAATTCACATTTAATCTCCACCGTTTACACCAGTTGGACAGAATATCAAGACATTTTTGCATATCTGATTCATTTTCACTTAGAATGGCAATATCGTCGGCATACAATAAAAGGCTTATTTTTTTAATCACCAATGGGAATTCCTGTATTTAGTTGTGAAATTTCTGTTGCTAAATCGTTAATGAAAAGGGAGAATAAGGTAGGTGACAAGTTGTCTCCTTGACGTACACCGTTTGGACATTCAAACCAGTTTGTGCGGAAGTCATTTACACATACACAAGAGAATGTCTCAGAATATAAACTGGAAATAGCATTATAAATTGGACCATTGACTCCATTTAACTGAAGTTTGTATTGCAAGAGATCTCTGTTTACAAAATCAAACGCTTTTTGAAGATCAATAAAAGTAACAAAAGTAGATTTTCGATCTTGTATTAGGTTAGTAAGGGTAAATATGTGGTCTTCACAAGATCTATTGCGTCGAAATCCGTTCTGTGTGTCGGAGAGTATTCCATTATCTTCTAGGTATTGCTGTATTCTATTGTTTAAGACTGAACTGTAGCATTTTCCAACGACTGATGATAAGCTTAAAATATATTTCAACCTGGCGTTGAGAACTAAATATTGTAAATGTAGCTCCTGCAGACTTCAGACTTTATGCCTCATACCTAATGTCTAACTTTTCAGATGATCGTTTGCTGGTCTTAAGTTATGATTTAAGTTTAAACCATATTTTATTTAAACAATAAAATGCTTTCTTTGTTTGTTATTACTGGAATTAACGGAAGCAGCTGTTGCAGAAAAATTATGTAAATTTTTTCTGCAATAGCTGCGACCGTTAATTCCAGTAATAACAAACAAACAAAGACATTTTATTGTTTATATTTATATCTGTTTAAATAATCATTTAAAGGAGGATTAAAAAGATAAATTATTGCATTAATTAAATACATGTTTAATTGTATATCTTATGTTGAACCTTTTTTTAATTTGTGTGTTTTTCTAATGTTTTGTCTTTTATTTCTTCTTATATGTGTGTTTTTTAGTGTCTTTTCTTAAGTTGTGTGTTTTAATGTACTTCTGTCTTCGTGAAACTTAAATATATTAATTTTCCTCTGTATGTTTTATTTGTACTAAATCTGTATCCATGTTTCTAGTCGGTAAAAGAGCTTTCAGCAAAACTCATGCTCTTTGTTGTGCATGGAGTTCGGTGATTTATTTTCGCTCGGGCTAGATGTGCAAATTTCATGAACGGAAGTTTAAAGTTCCTAAGCAACACAAAGCACAATTGTGTTTGGCGCATACGGTATGTATCGAAACTTTATATATACTTTCCTGAAGAAAAAGTGTAATCTTAGGTTTGATTGCTTTTATAGTACACTGCAAGGGATAAACCTATATCCCCTTCATCCATTTTCAGTAATTAAATACTACGTTTTTCATCATTTTGGTGTGTTTGATTACAAATTGACTGGGATATCAGCTTATCGGTAATGAGACTCGATATTCTCGTAAAGAAGGAAGCATAAGTTAAATTTTTTTAGGAGATTTAAAAAATTTTCATTATTGTATTTAAAATTTCAGGGAAAACATGGCTGCCGCAGTGGCATTACAGGCCCAAGGCATTGAGAGTAAAATCAGAACTCTTGCACAAACCAAACGCATCAGGATCAAAGACTATTTTCAAGACTTTGATAAGCTAAAAGGAGGTGGAGTCACAGGTAAAATATTATATTCAAATTATTTCTGAATTTTATCACACCCTTTATTCCAAGATCGATATTTCAATATATTTATTTTTCCCCCCCAGAAAACCAGTTCTTTAGATGCCTTTGCAGTGCTTTGGGTTTGCAGATTGACTCGAAAGATGCTGAAGCCCTTAAACAAAGATACATGAGAAATGATGGATTGCTTAATTACATGCAATTCTGTAATGAAATTGATTTAAATTTCAACCCAAAAAACCTGAAAAAGGACCCCAGAGAACAAACAGTTGAAGTTCCAGAGTTGTAAGTTTTTTTATGTAGAATTTTTAATATGTATACATTGTATTTATATGTGTTATAATTAAAAAGAGATTTTGGGTGATTTCAACATCAAGAAAGGAAAAAGAGAAATAACTCAATCGTTTAAATTATTAGCTGCTATATGTTTTATGTATTTCATGATCTCGTGGACTATTTCTATTCTTAAAGATAGACACTTGTTTTTATTTGCAGTCTCGGAACGATAAGATCGGTCAGACCACTGAGTGCAACTGAAGAACAAAAATTAGTAATGCTGTTGGAGAGAATGCAAAAATTTTATCAGTATCATGGAATCAATCTTAGGACATGCTATGAGGATTTTGACAGACATCACATGGGTGTTGTAACTGAAAGCCAGGTATTTTTTAAAAGATTCATGGGCTCAAAAAAAACAACAACAAAAAAACGAACAAATAAACAATGCAAAGCAACAAAAGAGGCCATCAGACCCTATATATTGTTTTTGTTGTTTGATTTATGCCATGGGCTATTTTTACATGGAATTTTCCCCCCCAAATCAGTGCATTTTTCTGTAAATTTTAGTTCCATAGACAATTCCCAGGTCCACCTGATGTGAATGACAGTGAGATGGCTCTGCTGGTTCAAAAATATAAAGATCCAGAAAAGCCAGGGCTATTAAACTATTTAAATCTCCACCATGATCTGGTGGCCATACAACAACAAGTAGCTGCCCAGAAAGAATTACCACCAGTCAGATCCCAGAAACAAATGGACCATGTTCCCATCATTGTAAGTTTAGTTGGATGTTTCAAAGATTGTTTTTCCTGTTTCATAATATCGCTGTTTAAATTGTTGCTATATCAACATCGATGGTTCTAAAATATGACAGCTAGGTGTGTTATTTTTTGCTCTACACGTAAAAGTACAATGTATATAAATCTTTTCTAAAGAGAAAATGAAGAATTAAGTATTAATTAAGCATAAATTTTATTGATCTTATATTTGACTCCCATTTTTTCTTACACTTTCCAAAGAAGTGAATTTCATCAAAGACAATTTCCTTATAGTTAGACATTTTAACTTTTAGCAAACTGGTGACCCAGCATTAAACGAGATATTTGAGAAAATCAGGGTGGCTGTGTTTAAAAATGGCATCAGAACCACAGAATTCTTTCGGGACCATGATAAGCTGAGGAGTGGAATTGTGACAGAGAGTCAGTTTAAGTGTGGCCTAGCTCTGGCCGTGGGTAAGGAGGCCCAGCTGTCTCGAGCAGAAATCCAGAAAGTGGTGGAATATTACAGGGTCGCTGAAGACAGGGTTCAGTATAGGGAGTTCTGTGATATGATGGAAAATGGTGAGTTTTATATTTTGAGATACGGTACATGAAAGATTTGCAAAATGAGAAATTTTTTTGATGAATTTTAAACTAAATTAATAACTTTTTTTGGAGAAAATGCAACACTAATTCACAAGGCTTGTGATGGTTTGCTTTTTTTGACCTTCAAAAATGACTATTAGGACAAGATCTTGGTGGTACTTAAATGTATCCTATTTTAACTTTATACTTGTGTCTTGAATCATTATATCCAGTTTGAATTCTGACAAACTTAACTGTATTTTTATAGCCTTCAACATCCCAGATCTGGAGAAGAAACCTTTACAAAATGTTGTTCGTCCTCAGCGAGGTGCATTGTCCAGGGTTAGTCTCCCTTCTTATCAATTTTCCAGTTTCATCAAGACTAAATTCTGACAGTTCTCACAATAAAGAAAAATAATCACATCAAATTTAGTTTGTTTAATGTTTTAAAATATGACTGTCTTAAAATTTTTCCTAATTTAACTGAAACATTTATATTTTTTAGACATTAAAAGCATTAACTGATGAAGAGGAGAGACAATGTGAAGAAGTTTTGCAAAAAATAAGAGAGCAAGTCCAGAGGAGAAGACTAATGATATACCCCTACTTTAAAGATCATGACAGGGTGAGTCACTTAGTCTTCATGTAAAAGTATTTGCCAATTTTACTCAAAAATCTTTATCCTGACAACATCCCTTGCTGCCATTTTTCAATGCCCACTGTGTTTTTTCTTACATTCAAATTTATATGAAGGGTAAAATTTTTTACAGGGTGTGGCCTACACAAGAGTGGTTACCCCAACCCAGTTTTCCCGAGTTCTTCATTACCTGAGCCTAAACGTCAACCCAGAGGAACTGAAACTTCTGCTGAGGAAATTCCAGGACCCTGCCAGTGGCGACGTCAACTACCCAGCCTTTGTCCAAACTGTAGATAAAGGTATGTATAGCCAACCTTATCAGTAGATAAAGGTATGTATCGCCAACTATATCATTCATTTTAAAATCAGATACCGGTACATTGTACAATTTACTAATTCATTCTCAATGAATGGATTTTTTTGCATATCAAAGATACCTTAGGCCATATTTTAAAAATTGTTTGGTTGCCCTCTCCTTGGCAACTTGCTAAATATGACTCAAATTTATTTTTAACCTTTTAGGGAACAATATTTTTTTCATTTTAGGAAAAAGATTGAAATGATTTAGCACTGTTTAAATTTTCTGGTGGAAAAATTTTCCACCTACCAACCAAACCAATTTTTTCCTCCTGAGTCTGGATAGGGCAAGCAAACATTATTTTAAAGTATTGGCTTTATTGAATAAGTTCCTAATGTAACTTTTTTTTTTTTTGTCTGGCAGAATTTGTTGGCCACACCCTTGAGGATGTGAGTATGATTGATCAGACCAGAACTAACGTACCTGTGGTAGAGAAGGAAGTAACGGCCGCAGATAGCAGTGTGTCATTCGAGGAGATGATGGCCAGAATCCGCCATATTGTGCTTACCAATCGGCTCAGAGTAAGATTCTACAATACTTCAAGTAATGGAAATTCATAAAATATTTTTTATACATGTTTCATTATTATCTTATATTTTCAAAG